GGGAAATTGGGACGAAAAAAAAAATTAAAGGGCAACACGAAAAGGTGGAACTGCGCCTCGAATGAGGCTAGTGACGTCAAAAAGAGAACCATGCAGAATGCGGCACATCCAGACAAAAATAGAGGGCATCTTTCAGAATTCGGGAGGTCGAGAGGGTCCAGAGCGAGCCTGCGACTCAGCCCTTTGCAGTTGTGTTGTTGCAACTTGCAATTCGGCCACCGCGAAAGAGCGGCGTTGCATTTCAATTTGTGCTCACGGTCTTTAATCTGGCTACTTTTCCCTCTTTTGGGGGCGGGTTGCAAGCCACACGGGGTAAAATAAGGTTCGCACCACAGAGCGCTGTCAATCGCAATGAGCGCAAGCCGCAACATTCCTGGTCCTAAGTCTTTTGGTCGTCACTAATCGAGCGAGCCGAATGCCGACTGCCCTGGGTATCCCTGGCCAAAACCACCCGTCAAAACAACCCCCAACACCCAACCAACCGTACCTACATGAACACCCTCAAGCATCGTCAACATCGGACATGACGTGGGCTGAGGCCCGTTCCCACTGCCTCTTCCCCATGTCTTCCCTATCTGCCCTCCAACGCCACCGCGGCGCGTTCTAGGAATGCATTGAAGTCTTTGATCTGCTTCAGCGTCCCCCCTGTGTCGCTCTGCGTACAGGCCTGGTCTGTAATCCTCGATATCAGTATCTCGAGGTTCGCCAGTTCCGCCGTCTTCTTCTCGGCTGGGCCGAGCTCAGGCGCCGCACGACCTCGCTCTACCGCCAGGTCGATGTCATGCATCTGCGAAGATAAGCTCAATTGGTTCTGTGGGACGCCCGTTAGTCAATTGTAAGGCTGAGAGATAGCTTGCGCTTCGTGGAGGAGGGGGTGCTGACCAGAGCTTCCTCTTTGACCTTGTCGTGCTTAATTCTGACGGAATCCTTCCGGACAGCCACCTGGTCCCGTTCGGCACGGATGCGCATGATTTCGTCCCGAAGGGTGATTCTCTCCTTTTGGACACTGCGTACCCGCTTGCGCAAGCTGTGGAGTGTGTCGAGGAGGATGGTCTAGAACGGGTCAGCTATGGCAACCACGCCTTGGAGATCATAACCCACGTGTTGGAGGAACCGGTTGCGCAACTCTTCCCGGTAAGCTTCCAGAGCTCGCATCTGCACCCTACGCTCTTTCTTCGTGGCTGCGTCCTCTGCATTGCGCATGCCCTCCTTAAGGGTCTCCAGACTTGTCCCGAGGACCTCTTCACACATGGTGGTCAACACATCCACAGTGTTTACTCCGCCACGGCTGGTGAAGGGGATATCGGCATTGAGAATGTCTGCGTCGTCATCGTCGCCTTCAGCTTGACTCTTATTCGTCGTAAACCGTTGCACTGGGATTGCAACAGTCTCATCTCCTCCTGGCGAATCTGAATCCTTCTTCCTCCTCCGTTTGGGGGCGGCTTTGGGCGGACTATTGGTTTTCGAAGCTGCTTTTGGCCTTCCTTGTCTCTGTTTTGCCGGACTGGCGTGGGTCTGTTTCTTGCGCCTCTTGGGCAGGGGGTCTTCGTTATCCTCATCTACAAGAGTAGAGTCCTGTTCGGCAGACGGCCCTCTTGGGCTTCTGCGGGGCCGCTTGCGCCCCATTCGTTCTGCCGCCTCGTTCGCGTCCACCTCTTCAGCCACACTCTCATCTGGATCCTGACTCGGCTCCTGTTCCTCCACTAGCGATTCCGGCTCGGGTTCAGGTTCTGGCTCCGAATGTAGCTCAGTCTCCGGGTCAGGCTCGGGTTGCGGCTCTTCTGTTGGTTCATCGGAGTGTGCCACCGATTCTTCGACTTGTGTTTCGTGCCGTGATGACAATTCAGGAGACAGAGTCCTTCCGGCAGACTTCCCGGCACCATCAGGTGATAGCTCGTCGGCATCTTCAGCCACAGATGCACCAGAGTTGCGGCTCCCACGGCTGCTTGTCGACCTGCGCGTACCGATCGTGGTCCTTCGAACTTTGCTAACGAGAGGTGATGAAATGGGTACCGTCTCGGTTTCGTTGTCTCCGGGAGATAAAGCATCCTGTAACCTGGCACTCGAAGCCAAAGCACTGCTCGTGATCTTACGGCGTCGGCCGCTCCCTGGTGCATCGGCAGGACTCTCCTCGACTTCGGTATTGGCCGCTGCGGCCCTCCGGTTCACGGGCGAGATAGGTGGCGCGGGTATGACCGGCCTCGGGGGCGGCAAAGACTCGACAGTGTCCGGGTCTTCTTCCTCTACGATGGTAGTGGGGCTCGTGTTTGGCAGCTCTGCTGCGGGCTGCGCAGATTCTATCGACGACCCCTCCTCCAATTCTTGGGTTTCTGGCTTGCCGGGTGACTGTCGCGCTTGATTGATACCGGCCGGTGCAGGCAGGAGAGATCGCGCGGCATCGGTGTCCAGTTTCCTTCGCTTCGCAGATGTGTTCGGGGTCGGCGTTGTTCGGGGTGGCGGCTGCTCCGGGCTCGTCTGGGTATCGATTTCGCTCGTGAGGTCGTCGCCAAAGTCCAATTGAAATGAGACATCCTCAACTTGGCCATGTCTTTGTATCGTCAGTTACATCTTCCAGCAGCGATATTCAAGGCACAGCTCACCCCGCTCCGCGCATGCGCTGTTGCATGCGTTCCGCCCGAGCTGTCTGATGTTAGCATCATCGGCGGGGCGATTCACGTCAGTTCAAGGTCTTACTCGTCATGGTGGAGGTTAGGGCTGCGATTAAAGCGCTTGAGCGCTGATACAATGAATCGGAAGTAGAATACGACTCATCAGAGACGAGTCCGACGTCAAGTCAGGGTTGTGATGTTTGGATTGAAAGCTTGAACCTCAAGGCTCTACTTGGGGGTGGAGGGGCGCGTCGTGCACTTTGGCAAGGCGTGACGCGCGCCTCCCCTTACGCTGAAGATCCCTGTCACCCTTGCGTGTGGCCCGTGCGTCGTCAACTTCATCCGATGTCCTGAACAGCCTCCAATGACCTTATGGGCCTTTTCCCGAAACATCATTGTTCCAACTTCAATATCTCAGTCAATTTCTCTGTACAGCTGTAGGACTCGCAAAACTGTTCGTGCTACTTCCACCATCTCAAAGAGCTCAAAGAGCGTAATCCTCCAATTTCAACTTCGGAATATTCTCCAACATGTCATCGATTCCCTCACGCAGCTCTTCCAACTGGAGCATCAAGGGACACTTCGCGCGACCCATGCACTTATGAGCCAACCCCTTGTCGATCATTGCATGTACCGCGCGAGAAAGCCCCTCCGTGGTAACTTTATCGGCCATGTCGTTAACTTTTCAAAGGCCATAGCTCTGGAACAGCTCGATGTACTCGCTCACGCGATTCGGCTTGGTGCATATCTCTCGCTTCACCTTGTCGCTGTCGCAGAGAGCTTGGTGCTCCTCGTCGTTTCGCTGCTGCTCGAGCCTGCGCCCGCAGGCCCTGCAGCAGAAAGTGCGTGCTCTGTACACCTGGTCGTCCTCCTGCAGGTGACCTTGAAGCGTTGTAATGTCGGAGTGGATGGCATGAACGCCAAATCTGATCTTGTCGGCCATGGTCTGTCGGATGTCGCTCGGTAGCCTCTTCTACCACGTGTCCTGCTCCCACGACTCGACCTCGTCGAAGGTCAAATTACGCATGCCCTCGTCTCAAAGCTGCATGAGCTCTTGGGACGCTTCGAGGTCCACGGCTGCCAAGGTAAGGCGGCCAATCTGCTCATGATCGGGAAACCCTGCCTGGCTAAGTCGTGCAGGTGAGGCTTGAACCACGTAGAGATCCAAGAAGCAAGCGGACGTCTGAATCAGAGAGCCTGACTGCATTGTGCGATCCCACAGAGTCTGTCAATACTGAGGTGCTTGCTGCCTTTGTCCGGGAAATGCGCAACTGACAGTAGGACCAAGCTCGGCGCAGTCGATTGCTCCAGTCTCCTCGATCACTTTTCAAAGTCGTGGCGAAGCATGACGGACGACTCCAGAACATACTAGGACAAATTCAGTTGTCCTCGAAGAGTCATTGATTACGTGAATAATCAAACCCTCCATTCTCGCCGAATCTCGTTTCGTAGAAATGGTTCTGGACGTAGTGGTCTTCGAAAGTTGTAATGGATTGCCGGTTGAAACCGTAAGTGAAAATAGAGAGGGGCGGAACAAGATTGCTTGTTTTATTGAGCATGCAAACTATTTTATACCACTTGGATGGAATTCTGTTCGGTGTTGTAAAAGCATTTCGACCATGAATGGCCTCGACCCAAACCCATATATCCATCCCTGAAGAGAAGCTGTGTACGGCCCAACTCCAGAGCGAGTTTTAAGTTCTAATTATCCATGGATGGCGCTACTCGTGAGGCTTTACTTTGCTCGCAGAAATTCATTTAGTACACGATTAAGTTCTTGAAACGGGGCACTTATGAATCTATCCATCGAAGCACCGGCCGAAGTGCTCTTACTGGATTTATCTACTGTGGACCATCTTATGAGTGGGCTATGAAACTTCCTCAACATGTGTCTGTCCATTGAATAGATTTTTGAGTGTCCACCCGCGGTTTTCTAGACCACTAGCTGAGACTCTATATTTATCATTAGTTAGTGAACAACCTAAAGGCTGTGAAAATAATCACAATATCAGCAATGTGGATGATGCCTAGTAGGGACAACAGAAGTGGGATGACGGCAATGATATCCAGTAGAGAAAACAGAGGCGATGCTCGATATCGACAACTGGGACGATGTAGACAAAGAATAGAGGTCATAGTGACGCCGCGGGACGCCGCGGGACGACGAGGGACGACGAGGGACGACGAGGGACGACGAGGGACGACGAGGGACGACGAGGGACGACGAGGGACGACGAGGGACGACGAGGGACGACGAGGGACGACAAGAAAGGCTTGGTTGCTAATAGATATTCTAAGAAGAAGAGAAAACTCCAGACTCCTAACGTCACTTCTCGGATACAGAAACCTGGAGTCTGTTCGATGCACAACTCACCCCCTCCTTCCCTGCCCTTACATGTCCTGAGTGTCGTCCGGCGTCTCCGCTGTCGTCTTCGCTGTCTTCTCCAAGCCTGACTGGGCCCCCTCGATAACAGTCGTCGCCTCCGCCTCTAATAAGTCCATAATGCGTCTTAGTTCGCACTCTGGGCCAGCATCACAGCTGTGAACATCCGTCTTCTGCAGGTTTCGGAGGCGCGAGCCAAGCTTTCTGATGGTGCAGCTCTCTATCGCTTCCTGCGGTGGCCAGAGAGAGTTATTATGGAGCATCTTGAGGAACTCCTTGACACGTTCACCAGAGTAACATCGCGTATTCGATGGGCAATCGGGCCAGGTGTTACATCGATGTATCATGCTCACTTGCTCGTTGAAGGTGAGTTTCGTAATCGCTGAATACAAGAACTTGGTAAGTGTCGCTTTGACCCTTTCCATATTCTTCTGGATGCGCGCTTTTGAGATGTCAGGATTATGTGGACATATCTGGCTGGGGGGACGGTTGGCTTACCTCTCAGGTCCTCATCCAACTCAGAAATAATTGGATCAGCAGCCCAAGATCCGAAGTCGAAGGAGAAAGGGATGTTCATGACAGCAGCCACCAACATTCTCGAGAACTCTTCTGGGTGCTCGAATCGTTGCAGAGCTACTAACAAGTACCCAATCTCGTCGGGCTCGGCCTTGTTGGACTTCGGCTGCCCAACGAGCCACTGTCCAATTTGGGCCTTGAGCGCCTCAACGCAGCGATACTGGTCAGCGCATATGGCGATGGTTGCGAGCTCTTTGGGGGTCACCATGTCCCACTTGCGCTGCATCCGGTAGTGGAGAATGCTTAGCATTACCTCCATGGCATCTGGGTAGTGGTTCTCCACCAAGTGTATGTCGGGGCGCTGGCCGTTCTGGACTTTGATGGCCTCTGAGAAGGTAGGAACGACCAAGAGGCTGTCGAAGTATGGTGATGCGGCGCCGAGTACGTTCGAGCATACCCGGAACTTGCGAATCGTGTTGTCTTTTGTGACAACGAGAACGGCATCCCACTGGTTATGAAGCTCAACTATCGTTTCCTCGCACATGTTGGCACCTGGGCCACTGTTGGCATTCGAGTCGTCAGCCATCTTGTTTGTTTGTGTGGTGTGGTTGGGAAGGTTGTGGAAACCGCTAGTTAGGTGAGAGGGGGTTTCTATAGACGGAAGGGCACTAGATAGATCTGTGGGAGGAAGGTGACGACGACTGGGTGTAACTCCCATAAAGAGGAAGTAAACAGAGACGACGATAAAGACGCTGACAGGGACGACAGGTGACAGAGACTACATATCACGGAGACGACAGATACTATCAGAACAAGGATAACAGAGATGGCAGTAACTATAACCAGAGAGACGAGAGGGCGAAGAACCTGAGAGGTGAGAGGACGATAGACGACAGAGACAACCACGGCAACGACAGCAGAGACGACAGTATACTATACTGAACTAGAGAGGTGAGTGGACGCAGAACTAGAGGGACAGCAGGAGTAATATCGACGATAAACGATACGGATGATAAATGATACAGACGTTGTAGTATGGTGTGAAATACGTACAGCGCGCAGGGAAATGGTGCGCTCCTCCTCCTCCTCCTCCTCGTCCCTGCTGTCGTTGTTCCTACTTTTTGACCACAAAGCTACTAAACCTCGCCGGAGAGTAAGCTCCCTCAGCCGTTCCTTCGGGACTGGCCGACGTCAAGTGGTGTAGGAAACCAATTTGCTGATACGAAACTTTTGAGTTCCCTTTCCCCTTGCACTGGTAGTCTTGGATCACTAACCAGTCTGTCAGCGGATCTGTATATTCTAGCCAGCGGCGTGTACGGTCGCCTGCTCGACTATCTTCGTTCGATGCGCGGCTCTGTGCCCGATCATCAAGAGGCATACCGCACGGGTCGAAAACTATGTCTCAAGTATGAACTACGACATCCCGCTGAAGCCAAGAAGTGCCATCTCTGTCACAATCCTGAACTCTTGCCAGGCGTGAACAGCGGGGGAGATTCGTGGTGATAGAAATACGCTATGTGCGTGTGTTTGTTTTGCTAGTCAGATTCCTGGGTATTCCCTAACGCCGTACATGAAAGTAGCGAACTGTTTGTTGAGACAATAGTAACCGAACGCCAAAACCTCTTCTCCGAAAATACGTTAATCATACTCCGCCGTGCTCCTTAGAGCTCTTCATTCGGAACCCACTCCATGTCGTTGTCAACGAACTTGTGGCTGTGGAAGTTGTCAGCGATATGTTCACCGGGTCTCGCCAGATTTGAGACTCACTTCTTGATCTCCTTGTTAATCAAAACATCCTCCCCGTACTCGGCCACCAGCATGCTCTTGTACTGAAACGGAATCTTCGTCTTCACCCCCTCAAACGTCGTCTCGAGCAGCGGATACAGGTATGTATCCCTGAACTCGTGGCCGTCCTTGCTCGCCAGCACGTTCTCGCCCTCGGGGTGGTCCTTGACGTACCGCACGGCCATGATGTCGATGAACAGGCCGTTCTCCATGTCGATCCAGCGGGCGTCGATGGTGTTGGCGGCCTCGTCGTCGACGGCGCCGTGGACGTAGTTGGGGTTGACCTCGAGCTGGAACTCGCGGCCGCCGGGGACGCCGGGGTACTTGTAGTACCAAGTCGTCATGTTGTAGTAGGCGGCCAGGAAGCGGATGCCGTTCTCGGACAGCTGCACCGTGGGCTGGGCGTCCCAGGGCAGGACCTGCTTGTTCCACCACCAGCCCAGCAGCGCGTTGTGCGAGAGCCAGGTCTGCACGCCCAGGTCGCGGACGGTGGACAGGTAGGTCTGGACCAGGACCTTGACGGCGGCACGCTGGGCCGTTTCGTTGAGCGGCGCCGAGGCGAAGCGCGGGTCGTAGTGCTCTGAGAAGCTGTGATCGGGGTTAGTCATGGGTGTAATTTTTGATTGGACTTTCTGGGATAGCAACCACTTACTCGGCTTCGTGGAAATGCTTGGCGGGCTGGTCTGGAGACGCGGAGCGTGGTGTGGCAGCCGTTGCCTTTGAGATCTGGTCCTGGATCGGGGTGGCTTGGACCAGTGCGGCGCCGAGGCCGATCGTCGTAAAGAGGCGTCCGAAATGCATTTTCACCGACCGTCTCGACCTTTTCTTTCTCTTCCTTTCCTGAACTCAAATCCTCCAGAAACCTTGAATTGTTCTTCGAAAAGAAAAATTCGCAGGGTAAGCGCCCCTTTTTCGTCGGAACTCGCTGGCTTGTTTTATGTCCTCGAGGCGCGGGCAGGGCCCAACGTCATCGGCTGTCGTAAGAAAGAAACACGGCAAATTCGGCCCCCAGTTTCCTGCGGCACGGAAGCTCGGGAGTGAGATTGGGATCTTCTTGTTCACCAACACACAAAGAACAGCTGGTATAATTGAACAAAAAAGCTGCGTTGGATCTACAGCTGAAAAAGAACAGTACAAAAGAACCAAAAAAGGTGCCTTGCTGCCATTGAGGAGGGCACATCGAGGTATCTATATCCCCTCCCAACCCAACGCCATCCACCCTCATAGCCGCTGATGTGCGTGTACGCCGCACTAGCTGGTACCAACCAGCCCCGAAGGAACCGATGCGTCTTCCCGGGTCAGAGAGGGGAGGGGGGCCAACGGGGCGGCGGCGTGTCAGGCCAGGGCCCCCGCGAACGAACGAGAAGGAAAACAAACGTGGAAATGATGCCAGGGCTGCGTAAGACGCCTTACCACCAGAGCCCATTAGCTCGCCCGCTTTCCCGGGAGAAACACACCTAATCGACCACGGTCCACGGCCTTGTCGAGAGTGGCATTGCTACCAAGGGAGGTGCTGGCTGCTGCTGCTGCTGCGATCAACGAGTGAACAAGCTTAGGAGGCCGCGGGCAAGCTTTCCATTGACTCTTGAGTGACCACTTTTGCGTTGCATACGCCCCCCACAAACGGCCAGGACGGCAATTGCGACCAACAGCCAGCGGGCTTTTAGTGGGGCGGGTTGTGCCGTCGTCCCCCCGCCTGGAACACAGGAATTGGCGTCGTCGTCGTCGTCGTCGGCTGGGCCGCGTCATTATCCCGCGGTGCTAAGAGCTTTTTAGCACTGCCGTCAGTCCCGCTTTCTGCTTTCTGTCTGCCAGTCCCCCGACAAGGGACCGCCCGCGATATGTTTAGTGCGGGAGGACGACCACCACCTTACACAGTAGATGTGAGGGTAGCCCCACAGGGCACTACTTATGGCTACCTCACGCCCAAATATACCTAGACTTACACTTAACTAATATATCTATACTTACACCTACTACACAAGCCTCACAGTTAGTAGTATAACCTCAAAATCTAGTAATTAGATCTCACTACCTTATAAATTTAAGGTTATTATAATAATAATTCATAATAACTATATTTTATTTAATTTTATTCCCTACTACTAATAATTAGATTTACTATTATAATAAAAACTATACTTTAAAACTATATCTCTAACCTATATAGATTACTAATATATTATAACTATCTATAACTACTTACCCTACCCTCTTTAATTTTTAGCTAATTAGAAATAAGCCCTACCCCTACTTTAATTAACTTATATATATTTAAAATCTAAAAAATCTAAATTTCTATAATACTATAATCTCTATTTATAATTTATCTTAATATTATAATTTATTACTATAACCCCTAATAGATTATAAGAGTTACTTTTTATAGATATTAATCTAAGATATTAAGCCTAAAAACTCCTTAATTTTATAATAACTAATTACTCTTTTTTAGATATTATTAATAAAACTAATCTACCCCTTACTAAATACCTTATTATAGAAATCCCTAAAAAGCTAACTTAAGTAATTTACTTTAATAGTTAATACCTTATTAAATAAGTTAAGATAAAAAACTTATTTTATAACTTCTTATAAACTTTTTATTACTAAGTATAATATTATTATAACTACTTACCTATAATTACTATAATATTAGTACTAATAACTATTATAACTATATCCTTTCCTTTACCTTTTTAAGCTACTTTTAAACTTAGAACTCCTCCCCCTTAGTTTCTATCCCTATATATTACTATACTTATTACTAATTCCCCTATTATTACTACTTATAATAATAATAATACTAAGATCACTAATCTTAATATTAATCTAAGTAACTTAAGCTTTAGTGATCTTAATCTTAATTCTACTTTAAGTTACTTAAACCTACTTAGTTCCTATTTCTATAACTCCTATTAGATTAGCTATATTAACTTTAATATTAATATAAGTAGCTACTTTACTATATTTAATAATAAAGCCCCTCTCTTTCTATTTAATCCTATTAATAAAATAGAACTTATAACTTTACTTCTTATAGAAACTGTTAGCACAGGTATAAGCGTATTTAGGGGCGTGGTATATGCGCCTATATAGTATAGGGTTATAGATGGGCTTATATTATAATAAAAGGTGATAATCCTAAGCATTTATAGGCATTTAATCGTATAGATAATAATAAGGGAATCAATATATTATAATAACTCTAGTTATTATTAATTATGTAGTTAGCAGGTTGCTTCCTCTAGTAGGGAAAAGTGAGGGGAAAGATAATCTAAAACGCAACCTACTAAACTGC